TTTTTATTTTTTTATTGTGAAATACGCATTTTTAAAAATTAGTTTCAGCTGTCCAACACAGTGCAATAGTTATACTTTTTACCCCTCGAAGTGACAACCCCCTCCCCCAATCCACCTCCCCACTTCCTCCCCCAATATCATACATTTCTATTACAAATCCTTTGACTCCACTCCCACACTATACTCCACGTCCCATGACTATGTATACATATATATATATGTATATGTATATGTATATGTATATGTATATGTATATGTGTATATATATATATGTATATATATATATTTATATATATATACTTATATACAATATTATACAACATCAGCTTCAGGTATACAGTGCAGTGATCAAGCCTCTACCCCATCTATGATGCACATGCCTTCTTTCGACACTACCCCCCGACACCTTTTCTCCTAAGCATTGGACCCCCTCAGAGATTCTTTCCTACCATGCTGGAGACTTCAGTTGAGCTGCACCTACTTTTGTTTTCTGCCTCCTCCCCATTTCTGTTGAACTTGCCCTTGATTCTCAGACATGCCCCTCGCAGTACTTGGCCCACTGATAAGAGGAGGGGTGTTATCAGGGCCTAGTGATGGGGCCTGCTCTCCACACACCACGAAGCCAAGCCATCCTGCCTTCCCCTGAGCCAGAGCCAAGGAAAGACCCACACCCTGCAGGGTCTCCACGTGACCACGTGTCTGGAACCCCTCTGAGAGGTCCCTAGCCCACTCCTGGAAACTGATGGAGGCAGTTGGGCAGTGGGATGGGGAGCCAGGAAACACCTACCTCCTCATCATCTCCAGACCTTGCCTCCATGGGCCTTCTAAAAGGTCAGGACATGTGGGGAAGAGCACTGGGCTGGGAAGAAGGTATCACTCAGCTCTGCTACCAACTAGAGCTATGAGAGGAAGGTGCTTCCCTCTGCTTGGCCTCAAGTTCCTCGTCTATAAACAAGATGATTGTGGCTACCTCACAAGTAGTCACAGCATCCTAAAGCTCTTTAGAGCTAGCAGGGACTCAGGGGTCACCTCATCCAGCTACCCCTCCACCCCCAGTTTCTTACATGGGAACTAGAAGGGGAAGGGATTGCCTAGGAGGACTTGGTGTCCAAGGCAGGTGGCGCTGTCCCTGTTACCCAGGCTTCCTCTCACGTTCCTGCTCCTGGGATCATTCCAGAGCGGGGAGAACTTGGGCAGTGACCACAAGGCCCCACCCTCAGAGCCAGGCTGTACATTTCAGG